CTTTTTATGCTGCTGTTCTCAGAGCTAGTTCTTGGGGGTCTGCAAGTTTTCAGTGGTTCCAAGGTAGTATGATCTTGGAAGCTATATAGTCACTACTCTCCTTGTCTGAGCTCTCATCTTTACCCCAGGAATGGCTCCTGGTCTCTTGCAGCAACAAATGTCAGTGGTCCTCTTTGCTTTAGTTCTGTAACCAGGGCCCCAGCTCCTTTGTGACTGACCACCACTGTTCCTCTATGCCCTGGAACTTTGACCCAGAACTGCCTATGGGTAATAGAGTTTCCAATCAGCATCATCTGTACCCAGCAAAGTGTTCCCTGGAATCTCTTTTTTTACCAGTTGTCCAACTCCTTTGCCATCTCTGGGCTAAGAACTCCTGAAGCTGTTGCTGCTGTTGCTGCAGCTGCTGTTACCACCACTCCAGACAAACCTCCACCCAGGTGCCACAGACTTCTCCTATTGACCTCTTAAATTTTCTTAGATCACAAAACCATTTTACCCCAAGTGTGAGTGATAAGAGTAACAAAATTCACAAAATTCTTTAAAATTGCTTCTATCTTCAAAAGACTGCCTCTTTATATCTCTAGTGCAGGTCACTATTCCTAAACTATTCATGTGTGTTTATGGGTCTTTTATATGTTTTAAGTATTTCCTTAGTAGGGGAGGAAATAAATAGATGTCCTACACCTGATACCTACGTTTAACATAGAGTACTTTTTCTAGAAGAAATCCTGTTAATCCCATTTTAAGGATACATTAGACATGACTTTGTTTAATAAGTTCTTCCCAAAATGCCAGAGTAAAGGGCAATGAGTTTGAAAATATGCAAAAAAAAAAAAACCCAAAACCCAACTGATCCTTTATCAAGCTTTCCCAAGAATAAATTTAGGCCCACTTGAACACAGACCCAGAGCCCACAAGTAAATGGAGAGGGGGCTTTTGGGGTGTAGATGGCATACACAAAGCATTTGACTAAAAATATCGTAAAAGGAAAAGTTCAGGTTGCTCCTCCTTGTCATATCTCTACCTTCTTCCCTTTTTCATCTATGCCTAGCAACAATGCCTTCTCCTTCTATTCTTTGCCTCAGGAGGGCCATTTTGCAGAGTCTGGCAGCTTATACTTGAGGAGGCCCTTTCTTCTCCTGGTTCCTTCTGGGTCTACAATTGGTCATTACTTTTCAATGTACGTGGTTCCCTAGAAAAACCATATGAAAGCATTGGGTTCTCTCTAAGGAATCATGGCTATGTCTGCATCTATTTCCTTTACAGGGCCCTCTCTCACTTTCCTCTCATTCAACTGAGTCATGTCCCTTAAAATCCAATTCCAAGGTTTTACACACATGCACACACATGCACGCATACATACACACATTTATCTCTGTAATGTATGTACATATATTTATGTATATATGTATACCATATGTTTGTGTGTGTGTGTTTCGTGTGTGTGAACTAGCTAAAAATATAAGTATCCATAACAATGGTTTAATCAGTGTGGGGAGAAAAGGACCCTTTCAAAGGGAATTTATACTTTTGTCAAGAAGACACAAAAAGGAGAAGAGTTCCTCGTAGGACATGCACAGGCACACTCAGTACGAGAATGTAATGTGCTACTTATGGAAAGATTCAGGGCTAACCTAAGCATTCACAACACAGATTTAAAACTGGAGGAAAAAATTTAAAGGCCAAAATAGCTATCTCAAAGCAAATACACTGAATTTTATAGGAAAATTTACCTAACTTTCTCTAAGGATCCATTTACTCATGTGTAAGATGTTTGTGGTTAGTGCTAGTATGCTTGGTGTTTTTGGCCATGTAAGTTATATGTGTTCACATGAGTCAGTCCACATTTGGTCCACAAGGTGGAAAGAATAGATTATCTCCATACTTTTCTTTTGCCATCCTTCTCAAAGGGAGACTTTGATTCCTGCTGGAAGGGGAATCAGGAGGTTGGGGACAGAGATTTGCCAACCTGATATTTTCAGAGAGAGAAGTTACCAGGCCAGAAATATATCTGTCTGCTCCTAAAATATTTTGGTCTAAGGGAAATAATTTTTAGGTTGAAGCTAAGGTCCTAATTTACTACCCTTTAATAAAGGATTGCCCTAGTGAAGACATACAAGATTTGACTCTTTTCCTACCAAATGGCAGTTCTACAACAAACACATGTAGCTAATAGTGAATTAACCCATTTTATCCAAGTTGACAGCAAAACAGAATCAGAGAAGGTCTATATATGAGAATAAACGAGACACTACAGAGTGAATGAGTTGCCCAACAGAGACCAAGATTAATCTTGAGGAAGAGAATATCAGATCTTGTCCAAGGGCAAATTCTATGAAGTTGCTAATGTAGTAAGCTGGAGATAAGGGCATGACCGAAGTTGCCGGCTCCTCTACATGTTGTTTTCTCATAAGAAAGGGAAATACAGAAAGTCTGAAAACATATGTTTCTCTCTCAAAGCTGGAAGCCAGAAGATCAGGATCTCTCTTGTCTCAAGCTCTCACCAACTCCTCCCCTCATATAGGTATGGAGCATTGAATAATCAACATCTACCAGTCAGGAGAGTTTTATGCAAATGATCTTTGTATAATTGTCCATTTAGTTTCTCACAGCAAGTATAGAGAACATTTCTGCTAGAAGCAGACACACTGAAGCATTAAGAAGTGCCAACTGACAGATTGATGTTTAGTGAGAAAACAGAAAAATATTAATAGAGACAGAAGAACTAAAAATATAGCAACCTGAGACTAGTTAAGGTAGCTCTATAGTTCTCAAATTATTAGTTATAGAGAGCATTTTTCATATAGTTATTGAGAGCTTGGATTTGTTCCTTTGAAAACTGTTTATTCATATCCTTTAATCATTTATCAATTGTAATAATATAGAATCAATCTTTGCAAGGGTACTGTTAGCCACTGAGAAAAAGTGTATTCCTTTCTATTTCTATTCAATTCTTTCTAGGTATCTGTCATATCTAACTTATCTAAAATTCTATTTACTTCCTTGACTTCTTTCTTGTTTATTTTTTGGTTAGATTTCTCTAGTTCTGAGATGGGAAGATTTAAGTCCCCACTATTATAATACTACTATCTATCTCTACCTGTAATTCATTTAACTTTTCTATTAAAAATTTAGATGCTATAGTATTTGGTACATATAGGTTCAGTACTGATATTGCTTTGTTTTTTATGGTACCTTTTATCAAAATGTAGTTACCTTGTTTATCTCTTTTGATTAAATCTGTTTTTATTAGTTTTTATTATTATTGATATTGTTTTAATATTTATTGTCTCATGTAGTCATTTGCTTCTATTTGGCTCATTTTGATTTTCATGGAGTTTCCCCCCGCCTTGGGTAAGATTTTGTATCTTGCTCCAAAAAGTTAATTCCCTTTCCAATTCTTCTTTAATAGCTCATATTTCTTTTCACATAATTTTCTCTAGTGCTCTTTTATTTTTTTAAATCATTTAAATTTTTTAGATCTTTTTAAAAAACTTTTGCTTCATTTCTTTTAGAGATTCTATTTGGACCTTTGTACAATCTGTGCTTTAAGACTTTGTAGACGTTTTGGAGTCACTGTTTTCTTGGATTTGTCTTGAGTTGCCCCATCACCTCAATACCTCCTTATGGTTAGATTTTTGTTGGTTGGTTGGTTGGTTTGCTCATTCTTCCACACTACTTCTTGACTTTGGACTTTATGTTAGCACTCGGCTCTGCATATTTCTGGGAGGAATGCCTAAATTGAATTTCTGTTCTCTTGAGTCCTGCTGCTGCTTTCTTGGGATATTGAGTATTGTGCTATTTCAGGACCTCAGAAACATCTCAGGCTAGGGATTGTAGACTTTCAGTACTCTGAAGTCTTCATCTGAGCTATGTTAAGTTCCTCACCCAAGTTTGGGTCTTCATACTTGTTGGCTTGTCCCTGGGTTGACAGTTCCAGTAAAATGTGCTGCTGGACTCAATCACTATTAACCAGCTAGAAAGCTCTTCCAGATCAGAATAATGGAACTCTTTGAGATTCCTGCCCTGGTTATTTCTTCAAAGGCTTGAGATTACAATGGAGACTGAAAATGAAACCCATTTCTACTGCTGAGATCAGAATAACCTGATTACTGTTTGTTTCTGAATTTGATCAGTACACCTTCTAATGCCCATGACCATGCCTCCCCTGGAATATTACCCTTAGGTACAGGTATCTTCCTTAGTCTGCCCTTGATCTGTGTCCTGAAACTTGGTAGTAAGTGACAAAGTGACCAAATGGCATCTGTTCCTGCAACTTGAACAAGATCAAGGTCCCCTGAGACCTCTTCTTGTTCCAGTGCACAGTCTTAATACTCTTTAAGTTCTGGTGTGTTGGGATCCTCTGTGTGGCTCCTGACCAGACCTCATCTCCAGTATCCACTGACTGACCACTCTGTCTCCCTATACCAACCCAGGCTGGAAAATTATTTGCTTTGATTTTTTTTCTTGAATTTATCAATCAGGACTTGGTCCAAAATCTATTTCTAGATTTTTGTAGAGGAATTGTGTTAGAACACTTACACTCTACTTCTTCCTCCTGTTATTTAGCCATCTTGGCTTTGCTTCTATCTACCCTAGACATTTTACCATCTGCCTCGCCACCATCCATATAGTGGTTTTTTCTCTCCTTTCCCTTTCCCCCTCCCATTTCCCTTATTTTCTCCTCTTGCTCTAAGAATAGCAATCAAATCAATACTAACACTGCTTCTGGAAATGGCATGACAATTAACTGCCCCATGACTATGCTTACTATCTTTGCTACTCCCCAGATTTCTTGGCAACACTTCACTGGTTGTCACTCTTCTATATGTATTGCCTCCCTCATTTGAATATGATCCTTAATGGTAGGGATTGTTTCACTTTTGTCTTTGTATCTTGAATGCCTAACACAGAGCTTGGCATATAGTAGGCAGTTACTAAATGCTTTTAGACTGATTCATTCTTTTAAAAAATGACTAAGGTATAGAGTTTATTGACTGAGAAGGCTGAGAAGTGCCTAACAGAAGTGCCATCGAAAAAGTTTAATAAAAGTTTCAGTGCTACTGAATTATGAGTCTGGTGGATGCCCAGAGGGCCTCAGATAGCATTGCCATTTAAAGGAAACTAGGGGAAAGAGCACATACATAAATAATTGTTCTGGGATAATTGTGGTTACATGTAAGGAAAATGTTTTGAAGAGACAGACTGTGAAGCACAAGTAGACATTTCATAACTAGTTCAGAAGAACTAAAAACTTCTTCAAGAAGAGGCTCTGATTCATTAGAGGCATTCAAAAAGGTCCAACAACTTCAGCTACCACTTCAGCTCCATTAGGAAAAGTTGTCAACTTCTGAAGGGAGTGAAGCTTATAGCCCTTTGAGTTTAAAAGGTCTAGAAGGCTCCTCAGCATCCTGTCATTCCAGAGTCCAGTTTTCAAATCCCACCAGCATTGATGCCCTGAGGAGAAAGAAGCAACTTTGGGAAGTGACCTTCAAGAATCATAGTGCACCTGGTGGAGTAGCAGGGACAGGGGAGGAAAGGGGAAAGAGGAGAGGAAAAAGCACTGTGCTAAGCATTTTATAAATACAATCTCTCATTTGATCTTCATAATAACCCTGAGAGGCAGGTACTGTTATTTTTTGCCATTTTACAGTTGAGGAAACTGAGGTAGACAGAAGTTAAGTAACTTGGCCAAAGTCAGACAACTAGTAAGTGTCTGAGATCAAATTTGAACTCAGGCCTTCCTGACCCCAAGTCTAGTGCTCTATTAACTGTGCCACTTCACTGCTCATAAAATTGGTGAAGTCAATGCTAAACAGGAACTGAACTCTGTTTTTTGCCTGCCTCCTGCCCTGACAAAGATGGGATTGGGGTGATTACATTCCCAAGTTGTTGGTGAAATGTTGGTACTTTGATCTTGTTATATCTTTGAAGTAAATATTCTTTGTAAGAACTACCCAATGGAACTGTAATATTAATCCCTGGACACCTAAAAATGGGCAGAACATAGCTGGCGGGGACTCAAACAAATAGCAGAGAAAAGAAATACCCACAAACATCCCAAGGTACCTAGATCCCTGAGGGCCAGATATAGTTGGCCTCGCCTTGAGAAAGTTGGGCCAAAGCATACATGATACACTGGGAAGGACAAGCTTCACTTAACTAGAAAATCTATCCCTCTGGAACAACTCATGAGTCAGTAGTGCTAGCTAAATGAGGTTTTAATGTAGTCAGTCAATTATTATTTTCTGTATATTAAAGAAGTTATTTTGCCATGGGAGGTTTATTCCACCCAGCAAAATGATTGTATCCAATTCACCAGCTCTTTGCTTTTCACAGAGTCTCAGACTGATTCTACAAACACTAATCTGTTCATTTATTTGCAAACCGGTTTGTGAGATTTTTCAGAACCTTTGAAAAAAGCCTTTTTTTCATAGTATAGTAAACATTTTCTAAACCCATCTGGAATCAAGAAATAAAAAAAAAAAAAGAAATAAAAGATCGGGACATTAGCATTTTTTTCAAAAAGAACAAAACAAATGAATAACTCTAGGAAAAATGAAGGTAGATATTTCTTGTGTTCCTATTCCTACTTCTTATTTAATTCCAATATTTATCTCTGCAATTTAATACTCAAGTAATTATTATAAGTATAATATATGTAACACAAATAATCTATATTTATTAATGAAAACTAGGAAACCATGTTCTTCTGATCCTAAGAGGAATAGAGATTTCACTTTTTTTTAGAAGGGTACACCCTTTTAGTTTGAAAGACTAAAATGTCATGTAACATTGAAGATCGTCTGATAAAGTAAAAGTTTAACCAAATTCTTATCAAGATGGGCTCTCAAACCTAAAACACAAAATCCAAGATACCTTTCCCACAATCAGGAATTTGAAGTATCTATACGGTACTACAAATGTCAACTCTCAGGTCCCTTGCTTACTTACATTATCCTTGATCTTCCCTGCCAAGCTTCAGCCTTCAATCACTCCCTGCATTTGCTGCCTATACTCATATGCTGCTAAATGAAGTTAGAGAAAATCACCAAACCATACTTGACTGAGATAACTATGAATATATATATATATATATATATATATATATATATATATATATTATATATATATATAATATACATATATATATATATATATATATAGTCTCAACTGGGTTCTTACTGTAGCAAGGCAATCCTTTTACACCTCCCTGTCCACTTCTAAAAAATGTTGAGCTCTCCTGCTGGAGCACAGTGTCACTGACTCGAGCTTCTTGTGCTGGGAGTCCCCAGACCTGCTCACTGGCTTTGGCTGTTGGGGCCTCAGATGCTGGCAGTTGGAGGCTATAGAGTTCTGGTTGTGCTTCCTGGAATTGTGCTTAGGCACCAGCAGATTTGGCTGCTGGAGGAGGCCGTTGCATGTGGTAGTTTTCTGAGCTGGTGTCTACTGGTTCCCCTGCCTGTACTGAGGTATTCAGGGGGTCCTGGTGTTGGTTATTGCCTGCTCCAATACCCTGGGGCTCAGGATCTTCCCCTGGTATGCTGAGGTGAGGCTTGCCACACTGTATTGCTGGGACACCTCCTGTCCTGTACTGCTCCCCCTGCCCCAGAGCAAGAGGGGAATTTCCCATTAATCCCCTAAGCTTCCTGGGCTACAGGACTGCTGCACCCCATCTTTCTTCTGACTCAGCTGTTCCAGGGTTTTTCCTGGGGTGACATTTTCTGAGTTTTCGCAGGTCAATAAGGGAGGATGAAAGCAACTTACTTCTTACTCCACCATCTTGGCTCCCGGAAGTGGAACCTCCATCCTGTCTTCTCCAGCAGATTGGTCCCTGTATCATCTCCACTCTCCCACTAATCTTCGATCTCTCCCTGATTTCCCTGCCTCCAACAAACACATCTGTATCTCCCCCATCCTTAAAAATCTTTTCTTTATCCAACCATTCCTTCTAGCTATTATTCTATATCTCTCCTCCCTTGCGTGGCTAAACATCTTCACAAAGCCTCCAATTCTTTTCCTTTCACAGTCTTCTCAGGTGACTGTAGTTTTAATTCCAACTTCATTGTTAAATTGAAACTGCTCTCTCCAAAGTTACCAGGATCTCTTAGCTTCCATATCTAATGACCCTTTCTTAATTATCATTTTTCATGACTTCTCTGCAGCTTTTGACGGTATCAATCATCCTTTTCTCCTTGATACCCTTTTACCTCTAGGTTTTTGTGATACTATTCTCTCCTGGTTTTCCTCTTACTTCTCAGATCACTCCTCAATCTTCTTTGCTAGATCTTCATCCACATTATGCCTGCTAACCATAGGTATTCCCCAAGGCTCTGTCCTGGGACCTCTATTTTTCCCCATAAATACTATTTTACTTGGTTATCTCATCAGCTCCCATTTACTCAATTGTCATTTCTATACAGATAATTCCCAGATTTATATGTGAGCCCTAATGTTTCCCCTGACCTCCAGGTTCATCCCTCCAATTTCCCATTGGACATCACAAAATGGTTGTCCTATAAATATCTTAAGCTCAACATGTCCAAAATGGAGCTTATTGTCTCATCCCTCCAAAACCTCCCCGATTTCTTAACTTCCCTATTACTGTTGAGGGGACCACCATCCTCCCAGTCATCTAGATAACAATCTAGGTGTCATCCTCTACTCCTCACTCTTTCACACTGCACATATCCAATCTATTGCCAAACCCTATCAGTATTGCCTTTATTACATTTCTAGTATATACTACCTTCTCTCCTTTGATATTGCCACCACCCTGAAACAGGCCCTTATCACCTCATACTTAGACTATATCAATAGCCCTCTGATATGTCTGCCTGCTTCAAGTTTCTCCCTATGATAGTGTATCCTACACTCAGCTCCCAAAGTTTTTTCTTAAAGCATAGGTCTGATCAGATCATTACTTTCTCCCCTACCCAATAAATTCTCAGGGTTCCCTATTTCCTCCAAATTCAAATATAAAATCTTCTCCATGGCTTTTAATTCTTTTCACAATATAACCCCCCTCTACGTTTCCAGTCTTGCATTTACTGCCTTCACATTCTCTAAGATCCAGTGACTTATCCTAACTCTATGCTTTTAACTTACCATCTTTCATTCCTGGAACACTCTGCCTCCTCACCTCTCCCTCTTGGCTTCCCTAATGCCCTTGAGATATCAGGTCAACTCTTACCTTTTCCAATAGGCCATCTCAGTCCCCCTCACTGATCATGCCTTCCCTCTGAAAAACCTCTGATTTGCCTAGTACATCTTGAATGCACATAGTGTTTACTTGTCTTCCTCATTACTTGTCTGTGAGCAACTTGAGGGCAGGGATTGTTTTTGTCTTTCTTTGTATCCCTAGTACTTAGCACATTGCTTAACATGTTGCTAGTGCAAGGTATGTGCTTCATAAATACTTGTTGACTTGGCTGTCAGAATTAAGACTTTAAGTGTTACATATTTAAACTTTCATTCCTTCCATTATTGGTCATGTTAGAGACTGGACCATAGGCAAGCTTTCATTTTATTTTTGCAGACCTAAATAGAAAAATAACCAATTAATCAACATACATTAAGTACCTACTATGTGTTTGACACTGAACTAAGCACTGAGAATACAAAAAGAGGCAAAATACAATCCCTGACCTCAAGGAGCTTACAATCTAATGGGGGGAAACAACATGCCAACAATTATATACAAAGCAATCTATATTGTTGTTGTTCAGTCATTTCAGTCATGTTCAATTCTTCATGACCCCATCTGGGGTTTTCTTGGCAAAGATACCAGAGCAGCAGAGGGGAACCTGCAGTCTGAAGGCCACACGTGGCCCTCTATGTCCTCAAGTGTGGCCCTTTGACTGAATTCAAACTTCACAGAACAAATCCCTTTAATAAAAGAATTTGTTCTGTAAAACTTGCCCTCAGTCAAAAGGCCATACCCAAGGACCTAGAAGGCCACATGTGGCTTCTGGGCTACAAGTTCCCCACCCCTATACTGGAATATCTGCCATTTTCTTCTCTAGCTCATTTTACAGATGAGGAACTGAGGCAAACAGGGTTAAGTCACTTGCCCAAGGTCACACAGCTAGTAAATGTCTGAGGACAGATTTGAATTCAGGAAGATGAGTCTTCTTGACTTGAGGCCTGCCACTCTATGCACTGTGCCACCTAATTTCCCAGTATACAAGATAAATAGAAAATAATTAACAGAGGCAAGGCACTGGAATTAAGAGGGGTAGGGAAAGACTTCCTTATAAAAGATGGGATTTTAGTTGGAACTTAAAGGAAGCCAAGGAAGTCAGTAGGTGGAATTGAAGAGGGAGAGCATTCCAGGCATGGGGAATAGCCAGTGAATGCCCAGAGATGAGAGGTGGAATGAAACAGTGAGTAAGCCAATCACTAGATGGAGGATTTCGAGAGATGCAGCAAAAGTGAGAGACAAAATGAAATGACTAACCTAGACAGAGTTTTCCTATTGTCATGAGTTAATCAGATTGTGTGGGTCTAACAGAAAGAAGAGTTCACTCTCTCCAAGTGGAAGGTTTTCTTTAAGGAAGCCTCAAGTCCTTACTGCTAGAGTACTATATACTCTAGGACCCTGGAGAAGATAAAATGCTCACCACAAAATTAGAGAGTGATTCTCTAACAACCCAAAGTGTGAAATTCCCTTCTGAAGAATATCAAACCCTTATGGCAGGGTGGGGGTAGGGGAAAGGAAGTAGGAGAGGCCTCTTAACCTTTTCTGTATCTTTGACAGTCTGGTGAAGTCTATAGATACTTTTCCAGAATATTTTAAAAGGCATAAAATAAAATATATAGAATTACAAAGAAAACCAATTATATTGAAATAAAGTTATGAAAATTAAAAAATAAAAACAAGTTAATGAAGCCCCTGAAATCCAACCAAGGACTTCGCAAGATGTTGTGGATTTGAACCTAGGACTTAATGACTCTGAGGCCACTTCCCTTTCCAGAACCACTTTCTTTCCAGTGGGTTGTTGTCAGGATCATATTAAGGAACAGATAGAAATGTTTTTACCCATAAATAGTGGATTATAATTATAATTGTACCCTATGAAAAGTAACACCACCTGTTCTAAAAAACCATTTTTAAAGCAACAACTTAAAACTTACATAAGCTTATTCTAGAAAAATTGTGTGGACTTGGTGAATGGCATTTCTGGTCACATTATTAGTAGTTATTCTCTTATTTTCTTTCCTTTATTTCTACATGTCTCACTATATGAAGCATCTAGAGGATATGGCAATATTAGACAAGCACAAAAACAACAGATGCAACAAAATTCAGAACATAATTAAAAATATGAAATAATTGATGATGAATATTTTGAACAGTTTTTAATATACAAAATACAGAAATTAGTTGGTACAACCATTTGGTACTGGATTATAAAGACAAATATAAAATAACCAAACCTTTGTTCCTCCCTGTAATCAAGTCCTTCAACATAGTTTGAACACTGCCTAGTGAAAAACAAAGTTTTTATTACTCCAAATGAAAGTATGGCTAATTTAAAATTACAAAATCAGTTTAGGCAATAATTAGCCAAACTGAGGAGTAGTCTTAATTAATTAGTGGTTACTATGCCCTATAACAACTTAATCATATATTATCCTTTCCAGAAAAAAAAAAAGTATAGTGTACTTTTTTATCTGTCATTCTAATTAACACAAAATCTGGGATCCTCTAACTAGACTATGACTCTGCAGTTTAATTGGGATGTGCTAATAACTCCACCTGCAACCTCTGGTCACTGATCTCCCAATTAAATCTATATAATTGTCATGAAAGTAATTCCAGCTTTTTAGTGAAGAAAAGTCTCCTTCCATTTAAACATTTTCTCTTTCATGATAAACCTGCCTAACAGTGAAAGAGTCTCTTCTGGAATCCAGATAACCAAGGGTTTGGCTCCCTTTAAACAATTTAAATTTGTCTCCCAGTAGCTTTAAAACAATCCTGAAATCATTCCTCTGCAGTAATGTTCTGCAGTGTAGGGTACAGAGCCTCTGCCCAACAATCCAGAGGGTCAGAAGATGAACCATATTCCATCCTCACTGTGACAGCCAACTTTGGGATTTGTCTCCAACAAAACCACAGCCACCCTAATTCCCTAGTGCTCTATCACTCTACCTCTTCTCTTCACTGTGAAAATTTCTAGCTTTCCCTTTCTACTTGGCTTTTGGCCCTCAGG